AAAAAAAAAAAAAAAAAAAAAAAAAAAAAAAAAAAAAGAAAAACACAGTCTTATGAAAATAATCACAGCTTTAGTGTATGTGTAAGTGCTATGGCCATGTTATGTCCAGAAGACATCTTTGCAGCACACCTCTGCAACCTCTGACCCTTAATCTTTTTCTATTCCCCCTTACCCTTCCATAATATTCCCTGAACTTTTGGAGGTAGTAGTGATATATGGAATGCCAGGTATGAGCTCTGTCCTGTAGAGTAGGCACCAAATCATATAAGAGGATAGTTGGTTACCACTATAATAGTCATGCCACTATTGCATTGTTGGACATATCTTGCCAGAAAACCGTTGCTATAGTTAGCATGGTAAGACTGTTAATAACTTTTCTTTTCAAGAAGTCTACATAGCTCCTTTCAGCAACATAAAGTAAGACAGCAGAGGACTGTTTCAGCTCAAATCCAGCTTGATTTATCAAAATCTTGCAACCCCAGTATGCAGTGTCATCAGAAATAGGGTCTTATGATCTTGTCCTGGTGGGCAAACAAGAGCATTGTTTATTTTATGAGGATTATACCCAAAAATCTATTACCCAGATTAATGTCAAAATATTTTTGTAGTATTTAATAGTTCCAGGTCATACATTTAACCCTTTATTTAGAGTTTTTGTTTTCTAAATAAGTAAAGATCTAATTTTACTGTTACTATATGTACATTTATATTTTACAATACAATTTATTGATGAGATTTTAATTAAAAATTCTTTATCTTTGACTTTTGGAAAATTGATTATTTTCACAAAGTTCTATTTCTGTTTACCTATGAAGTTTTTGTTTTTGTTTCTTTTTTCAAATTTATCCTTTGGCACAACCCAAAAGGCTTAACGCCTCCAGCAGATGCAGAAATGTAAAAGCCTTAAGTCCTCCAATTCCAGGTTATTTTTCATTACCTCTGGGAGCACTAGATCTAATGCCAGCACGGATATACTATTTTGATACTAAACACATTTCTCAGAAACTCAGGCAGCATGCCATTTCAAGGAGGTAGTTCATGTTGTTGTCCCACGGCGTGGAATCACCTCTGCTATCCTTCAGTCTAGGCTTTGTTGGCTATGGAGAAGAATTGCTCTGTTTAACATTTGCCTCCAACATGTGTTGGGGGAAAATATATTTACAAAATCCAAAATTTATTTGTCTATTGGGGCTTTCATCCCTGCGTAAATAACTTTTCATAAGAAAATTCTGCTGTAGGTCAAAACCATTTGTGTTCAAGTGATTTCTGGAGTGTTGCCAAGGAGAAGGCAAGTGAGAAAAACATATTAAAGCACTGAAAGGGGCTAAACAAGAACATGGCCCTAGATGATGTCTCAGTTCAGACATGGAGTATGCTGAGGGACAAATTACATTACAGAGGGACTCTCAGACTATGGTGAGGTTAGCTCTCCTTTTGTAACCCTGACATTTAGTCAGAAATCAGGGGGATGTGTATGTGTGTGTGTGTGTATAAAGCCCCCTGATCAAGTTGATTCTCACCTACTCAAGGTCTCTTCTTTTTGGCCAAGAACAATTTTCGAAGAAGAGGTTACCTGTCTATTATATTGGATAGTATCTTTTCCAGCATCCAAGTGCACCTGCCTAGGTTCACTGGTTGGTAGAACAATCTGAACAAGGTACTAACCGAAATTCTGATATGAGACATAAAATCATTTAAACATGAGTATTGCTTCACTAATCTTAGACTTCCCAGAGATGCCTCACTATATATTCCTTCCCACAGACTCAATAAATGAGTAAGTAAAGGCAAAAATCACATAACAAAACAGTCGCTTGGTTTATAGTGGCTACAACCAAAGTTGTTATCCAAACACAGCAATCTATTTCTGTATTCTTCCGGCCTATTGAAATACATAACCTTGAATGTTACACCATAAATCATATTTTGTATTCATTTATATTATATGGTCCTGCCATATAGTTCAATCTTATAGAATGACCAATAGGTGGCACCAGAAACACCACACGTACTGCAGCTAATTTATGCAATATGTATTTATGTGCTAAAACTTCTACATAACTCTGCCATATTGTAAAGGGATTCATAACATTGACTCCAACTCCAAACTTGGTAACTTACAGTTCAGTTATTTTGTTATTTGAGTTCTTTCTATGGAGTACTTTGAGTTGAGGGGGGTGGAGGAAGGATGATAGGGCTAGTGAATTCAGAAAGAAAACATCTATTCATTAGCAACAGGAAGGAAAAAATGCCTGGAGACCCGCATCCTCTACCTCTGAAGTCTCTTGAGTATATAAATGCTGAAGATTATTAGGAAATATTTGAATAACAGGATAAAAAAAGTCAAGGATCCTGCTTCCAAAACATGAACTCTATTCTCCACTAAAAACAGACTTGGATGGCAACCAAGTCGTCCAAGGATCGCCCTCGCCCATATCTGACCACAGGGTTCCACTCTGGGAAAGGGCTTTGCGTCTGGTGTTCATCATTTTCAGATTTGTTTCTTTTGAAGTTTGCACTTTATTGTTGATGAAGGGAAGTAAAGGAGGAAGGGCACTACCTCTTCCAGATTAGTTTTTCTTTTTTGAGAAGTCCAGCTTCTAGCTTCTTTCTGAGAGCAGACTATTTATTCTAAGGAGCTGTAGAGTGAGCAGGGAAAGTGCTGGACTGAACCGGGCTGCAGAACACTCTGCATTTGCTGATACTTCTCTAATCCTCACTTGACCTTCCAACCATATTAAACATTGGGATACTGAGTCCTAGAAAAGTCATTAAGCTAGCCAGTTACTCAATCTAGTTTCTATAACTACAAGGTCAAGGCTAAACCTAGGATGTACAATAGGCTTGCTCTGCAAGTGTGGACTGATCCTTTTCAGCTCACGAGCCTTCAGTTTCATCAATAGCTTCCAGGCACCTTTCTGCTAGAAATTAGCAGATGCTGAACAGTACGTGTGGAGTGTGATGTCTTGAGTACTGATTGGGACCGGAGGTGTGGCTTGGCACCAAGGTCAATAGGAAGGGAGGGTAAATCTCACTTTGATAAGAGTCCAAGGTGGAAGGTGACACCACTATTATACAATGTGTTAAACAGCCTGGTTCTTGTGTTTTGAGGGAAAAGCAAATACCAAGGCCTGATTAACCTTTCCTATACCTATCACCAGCTTATTATACTGTGAACATTGTGCCTCTGGGAGCTTTTCTTTCCAAATGAAATGATTCCAAGCTTTGGAATGCCTCTTTACATGGTATACACCCTGCCACCCATGTTAAGAATTCTTCTCCCTTTCTCTCTCTGTGATTCTGTTAGTTTTGCTCTGCTGGATTTACTACCACCACTATTATTACTGTTATTGCAATGATTAAAATGGAGGCTTATTATGTAGCCTAGGCTAGCCTCATACATAGTTCTCCTGCCTCATTTCCACAAGTACTAGAATTCCAGGAATATCCTTGCTTTTCCCTTTTGACAGCAGGGCCAACTGAAGGGAGCATGTTTTACTTTTTACATAAAAGATAGAACCAAGCCTTGTGACACAGATCAATAGAATCTGAACCTGGTGGGACTGGTCAACAGCCCTAAATACCAAGGCAGGGAGATGCCATATTCAAGGGCTTCCTGGGTTGTTTAAGTCCGATTGAGATCAACCTCAGCAACTTAATGTGACACTGTCTGAAAATAAAAGTTAAAAAATATTGATAAAAAGGGCCGACGATGGACCTCCATGGAAGAGTAATGTCTAGCATGTGTGAGGCCCTGGTTCCATCCCTAGTACCAAGAGCAAAAGGCAATAGAACTGTTCAAGGACACATGTACATCATTTTATTACATATGTGTACGTGTGTGTGTGTGTGTGTGTGTGTGTGTATGTGTGTGTATCTACCCACATCATGAACAAGAAAAGTCAGAAAAGAAAAATAGAGGATAATAACCGTAACTCAGTACTTAGGATGTGAAAGGCCCTCTGTTAGGTTCATTAGATAGCTATTTTAACTCCCTTCACCTCCTGAGATGGGAGCTGTGCTGTGTAACGGTTCTGTGGTCAGGAACTAGAGCCAGACAGACCTGGCTTTTCACCAAAGCCTTGATTCTGTCTCACATGTGACTCTGGACAAATCTATGTGACCTTCCTAAGCGTTGTTTCCTCACTGAAACAACATGC